CGTGGTCGCCTCATCTTGCCTGCCATAACCACAATCAGTTTGGGGACACGGTATAATCCTACCATGGCCGGATTCTCCCTTTTCGAGACCAATTGCTGCCTTTTGCTGCATCTCGTGCAGCAGGCCTGGCATCAATTTGATCCCACTCGGCCAGTTCATCATATATTGATGGCTCCCAGCAACGACCAGACCCTGTCTGCCCTGTAACGAACCAGCGGCCTAGACCGAGGCTCAAAAGAGCAAGGCAGCAGACAGTGCACTGTAACCCCCGTGACCCGCCACAGGAACGCGCCCTGGGCCCGGTTTTGCAGGCTGGTTGCGGGACCAGCAGCACTGAGTAGTCTGGTAACACATGCGCCACTACGCAAGCCGCCTTCATGCGGCACTTCGAACATTGAACCTCTCTGGTCACCACCAGGTCTAAAGCCATTCCCTGTCCCTCGACTCAATTTGGCGGGAGGGGGGGGGATTTCGTCCAGCATGTCCAGCATCCAACATGTGCCATGTGTAGCAATGCCATTGTTGTCATGAATGACATGCATGACATCCTGCCTTGTCATGAAACGCAGAATTTCTAGTCACTTGGTTGACCGTGTGTAAAGCGGCATGGCTCCGTGCCTGCGGCGGACGGAAACCATTGACAATGAAAAGTGATGGACTTTAGCGCAGGCATCGCGTGACAGCACCGGGAAATAGGGATTTTCGCTCCATGTCCCGAAAGTCAAAACGTCGAAACTTGCTTTTCGAATCGTCCGATTGCGGGTCTCCCTATGGATTTGCCCCCAAAACACAAGGTATGCATGTACTTCACAAGACATTGCCGCCGTGCCTAGGTATTGTCCGCAATCCGGGGTACATACGCGTTGACGGCCTCGGCGTCGATCGCCCGTCATCTCGAAGCAAGCCCTTCCTGTGCTGGCCCCTTCCACCGCCATCACCACGGCTTACAGAGGTTCGTCAGCCGCTCTCCCATCTGGATCAATCTCAACGCGATGACCCCTTGTCTCATGGCTCGTGTGCCGTGTGCCATGTGCCAATTTTTGAATTGGAGACGGTATCCTACCTAGCAGAGTACTTGTTTGATAGTGCTTGTTCTTGCGAAATCTGTGCATTGTACTCCTCAATTCGACATCCACCCCGCTGTCGATGGTTTTACCCGTAATGGTCATGCTTCGAATTGCGAGGCGGGACGCCGTCGGACCGCCGTTGACGAATGAACATTTCAGAAAGAAGCCGCCTAGGGTGGCTTCGACCCCAAATGGCGCCAACCGAACCCAGTGAGAGGTCAATATTAGGGTGAAACATCATCTTCGCCAGTTAGACAAATTACTACTCGTAGCCAAAGTTCAAAGCCTCCGCCAGCATTAGTACGCCGTATAAGCTACGTTGACACGAGGGCTGCTGTCGGGAGGCCAGCTTTGGACGGACATGCAAGGCATCTTCTTCAGCCACGCATGCAAGAACTCGCAGTAGCGGTCGATCAGGCGGCCCAATGATCACATTTTGAATCCTGTCAGCCAGCACGGCCTATGGATCCAAGCAACTAGTCCGTAGTACTAGTGCTATTCAATCTAGACTTGTTATTCCAGGCGCTCTCAAGCGTCTGTATGTACTGTAGGTACTGTAGGTACTGTAGGTCCGTATGTACGTCTTGTACGTACAGAGTCCCGTCGGCAAATGAACAGCTCTTCGACCAGGATGACTTGACATGGGGGGCGTGAGTGAATGTTTCCATGTCGCTAGCACTAACCAATTTAGTTCAAGACCAACGGAACGACATGGCTAGGTAGCTTTGTCGAGATCAACTGCCGTTCCCGCTACTTTTGCCTTTGAACGGCAAGGTCGTGTTCCAGTTGTGCTCGTCGTCGTGGGCTGTGTCAACGGGCGAGTGCCCCTGATTCTGAGCGCAATTTTCCGCATGTGTGAGACAATTTGGGCCCCGAACAGGTACTAATTTGTGCACCGAGTGATAAGAGTGCCAAGTATACACCATGTACACATTGGATCCAGACGTGAAGACCGGTGGAGTCAGCCAAAGCGGTAAGCATTTGTGGGTTCAAACTTGTGACGGTGTGACGGTCAGGTACGAGGCCTGTAGTATTTACTAGTATTCTCCTGTATAAGGTGACGGGTCGGATTGAAGAGAGCCTTGGACTTTCCTGTAACAAGGGTGTACATAATTACAGGTTATTTTGGGCTGCATGTCTTCATCAAGACCCCTCGCGTGTCTGTACTAGGCAGTCTAGATCGTATACGGAGTACATAAACCCATGTAGTACCGACGTTGGGTCAAATGCCAAGGGCACAAAATGGCGGCTCAACCGTTCCTTCGGGGCCGCCAAATAGATTTTCTGCGGCTGAGTTGTGTTCAGCCCTTTACAACCAGGGGTCCTTCGGAGCCTCAAGGGAAATCGACAAGTTTTGAGTTACGTTAGAATTCATGTAACGATACCCATTGAATGCCGAGACCGGGAGAACGTTTCTTTTGCTCTGGCTCCCTTTCCCAAATGTTCAGGCGGGCCGTATTGTGGAATCTTGAATCAGTTCTTCTTGCTGTCACGACGGCGTCAAACGTTGCGGAAAAGCCAAGTACAGGTGGATCTGCAGAGGGGGCGTGAAAAGGCTGAAGACGACTGGCGGGTGGACAATGTGGATAATGATGTGTTAAAAATCGCGACTGTGCCGATCCCTGTCTTTGCTCGATCAAGGGAAGGGTCTGTTAATAAAGGCTTGTAGATAGAACAGTATACCTAGTACTGAGGGCAGCCTCAATAATAGTATCTGGACGCGATTCATTAGGCCAGAAATTGAGGACAACGAAAAGTAATGGTCATCCATGTGCAACTGGACGCTTTATCCCCGCTCCGCTAGCTATTCCTCCTGCACAAATGACTTGAGGTGACAGTAGGCCAACTGTCGCGAAATGAAAAGTGAGGGAGGGGGGTTACGGAAACTGAGTGGCAGATGTACGCGTGATAAGTCAAGTCGAGACCAGGAAGCCAACGTTTAGCAATACGGGGTAGCCTTGCCAGAAGAAGCTATTGGGCAGAAGGCAGTTGGCTAATTGCTCAGCTGCAGGAGCTTGATGCAAATGGCGTTACAGGATTGCGCCGCAACGAAACCACCTCTTGTTGCAAATGTCTGATCGAAAAACTGCATGCGAATAGGTGACGCCTGTAACGTTGGAATGTTCATTGAGATATACGCCGTACGACGGCAATATCCCAACGGTCCGGCTGGCTACCCAACCAAAATAGACGGAGATGTTGCATTTGACATGCTGATATCAACAGGTTGTATGCATTGTGGGCATGTGGTGGACATCTGGTCCATCTGCTAAGCAGAGCATCCAAGATCTCACGTCACACAGCAGCTCCATTGCATGGATCGATCTCTTTACCGCATCTAGATCCCGCAAGGGAGATTAATTATGCTAGGCAAAAGTCCAGCAGCAAGAGGGGTTTCCGCACGGGAAGGGGAGGGGGGGCGAGAGTCTGTTGTCAAGTGTTTTCTTGTTACTTCAGCGCGGGGAAGTACCAAGATCTCATCGCCTACTGGGTGGTCCATATTCTCGGAAAGACCCTCGGGGGATCCCATCAGAGCATCTGGATGACTCGTCTCAGGTGGGGAAACGAGGCCTCTAATATCATGATCCAATTGACGAACAGCGCTTGGCGCGGTGGCCAAGCTGCCTGTCCCGAATGGGATCATCCCATGTTGAGTACGTTAGAGTCTGCACGCTCCACAGAGCCAATAACAGAGCTTCATGCTATGTGAGCATCACGACGAGAAATAGGTGTCTGTAGATACTAGGCCCTCGAGTCGCCGTGATCAAGGAGCCATCGTGTCCGTGGAGGAATCCACTCTTTCCGGGCATGATGCCCGGGCCGTCCTTTGGGTATAACTACTAGTAGTAGTCATCTGCTCCATTCGCCGACGACATGAGCCCAGTCGACATGACATATCGGCACCGTACCCTTTGGGATTCGCGGAATTCGGTCGGCAGCAGTGTTTAGCCCTTCTAGAATAACATTGGCTTCTGGACAGTCGTCAGTGAAGGGACGCAAGCATCATCATCAGACCATAAACAGGCAAGTACCATGTGGCCAATCTGTAGTCCATAAACATCTATCAGGTACGCCGCACCACGCACTGAGCCATTGTGACAACGAAATACTTGCTCACTCACCAGCCAGTGTCAAATTGCACGTAACAGTTCTCACGTGCTGGAAGATGATTCCTGCCCAGATGTGCAGTCATGGGGAATATCGCTCCAGATGGTTGGTCTGGTTGGTTCATCTGCAGCTCTTGCCGTCCCCCAAGCCCCCTACTTCCCTTTCCGTCACCCCGGCGGATTGTCGTGCCGAAATCGCCTCCTTTCGCGCTGCCCTGATTGGTGCAGGTTTCGGCAGAAACCCGGTTAAACGGATCAAGCTCGGGTAAGAGGATCGCCGATGTTCAGCCGTGTGAGCGACATCCCGCCAGAAGTGGGGTAACTTTGACAGCTGGGGAGCATCTCTCCCCGATTTAGTGCCCTTTCAACCCAGCGCTTTTCCGAAATCGCCAACATATCATCCCTCTCGATACCCAAAAATGCCATGCCGAGCACCAATATTGAAGGGGTGCGGAGGGGCTGTGTTTATTTTTTTCGTTGTAACCGAGGCTTTCTGATATCCAAATTTCTCCGTCATCGCAAGATGTTTGTCGGCCGGCGATGCACGACATAAACTTTTACAACGGTGGTCTAACGAGCTCGTCGTACTTTAACCGGCCAGCTCCCGCCGTCTTCTTCCGGCCCCAGCCTCGTTCTTTAATGTCCCATGTGTTTCTTTGTTCCTCTTGTACTGTGCTCCAGCTGAGGTGGACGTGATATAAGACACATACTACGTCCCAGAAGCTTAGAATCGGCGCTGCGAGGTGCTTGGAGATTTGTGTAACTTTGGGACTAAATTCACAATCGTATCGATTGTCGTCTCAACAAAGCATTCATTCTTCTCATAATGGCCGATATAAACATCGAAGAGGTGCTCAAGAAGCTTACATTAGCTGAAAAGGTTGACCTGCTGACAGGTAAGCCTCTCTCCATGGCTCTACGGCGGATATAGTGAGATGCAAAGGAAGAAACTATAATCACCTCGAGTGTGCTCTGTCATTTCGCTTACACCTAATTGCAGGAGCCGACTTCTGGCACACCAAAGCCCTCCCTAAACATGGGATTCCCTCGCTCCGCATGTCCGACGGCCCCAACGGTGTAAGAGGCACCAAGTTCTTCAATGGCGTCCCTGCGGCATGTTTCCCATGCGGCACAGCTCTCGGGTCAACTTTCAACCAACAATTGCTCGAGGAAGCCGGCAAGAAGATGGGCGAGGAAGCCCTCGCAAAGAGTGCCCACATCATTCTTGGCCCAACCATCAATATGCAGAGATCCCCGCTCGGAGGCCGTGGCTTCGAATCCATTGGCGAGGATCCGTTCCTCGCCGGTCTTGGCGCCGCTGCTCTTGTCCGGGGAATTCAGAGCACCGGCGTGCAAGCTACTATCAAGCACTTTCTGTGTAACGATCAGGAAGACAAGCGAATGGGCGTCCATAGCATTGTTACTGAGCGGGCGTTGCGCGAGATTTATGCCCTCCCGTTCCAGTTGGCGGTGCGAGATGCGCGGCCAGGCGCCTTCATGACGGCTTACAACGGCATCAACGGCACCATGTGCAGCGAGAACTCCAAGTACCTCGACCGAATGCTACGCAAGGAGTGGGGCTGGGAGGGTCTTATCATGAGCGACTGGTACGGCACCTACAGCACGACTCCGGCCGTCGTCGCCGGTCTAGATCTAGAGATGCCCGGCCCCGCTCGGTTCCGCGGCGAAGCTCTCAAGTTCAACGCCTCTACCAACAAGCCATTCACTCACGTCATTGACGAACGAGTCCGTGCTGTTCTGCGACTTGTCAAGAAAGTATCAGGCCTCGGTATCAAGGAGCTTGGCCCGGAAAGGGAAGCAAATACACCCGAGACGGCTGCTTTGCTCCGAAGGATTGGCAACGAGAGCATCGTCCTCCTCAAAAACGACAACAACGTCCTGCCATTCAAGAAGAACAAAAAGACTCTGGTCCTTGGCCCCAACGCCAAAGTAGCCACCTACCACGGCGGTGGTTCTGCTTCCCTCCCCGCCTACTACGCTGTGACTCCGTATGACGGCATTGCTGCGAAGCTAGGTTCTTGTCCCGCTTACACCGTTGGCGCTTACACCCACCGTTTCCTTCCCCTACTCGGTTCTCAGTGTATCGATCCCAATGGCAAGCAGGGCATGAGGTGGACCGTCTACAATGAGCCACCCAGCACGCCCGACCGCCAGTCCGTCGACATGCTGTACTTTAGCAAGACGGATATGCACCTGCTCGACTACAACAACCCAAAGGTAGCCGACACTTGGTACGCCGACCTGGAAGGCTCGTTTGTGCCGGACGAGGATTGCACTTACGAGCTGGGACTTGTCGTATCCGGGACCGCCAAGGCCTTTGTCAACAACAAGCTCATTGTGGACAACGCCACGAAACAGGTTGCTGGAGATACCTTCTTTGGCGCAGCCACACGCGAGGAGAGGGGGTTCGTTGACTTGAAGAAGGGCGAAAAGTATGAATTCCGCATCGAGTTCGGCTCAGCACCTACGTTCACACTCAAGGGCGACGCGTCTGTGCCCGGCCACGGGTCTCTCCGCGTCGGTGGCTGCAAGGTCATCGACGACCAGGAGGAAATCAAAAAGTCAGTCCAGTTGGCCAAGGAATACGACCAAGTCATTATTTGTGCCGGTCTCAACTCGGACTGGGAAACTGAGGGCGCTGACCGAGTGAGCATGAAGCTCCCCGGCGTTTTGGACCAGCTCATCACCCAAGTTGCCGCCGCCAACTCCAACATTGCCGTGGTCATGCAGACCGGCACGCCCGAGGAGATGCCCTGGCTCGAAAAGACGCCCGCCGTTATCCAGGTTTGGTATGGAGGCAACGAGACGGGCAACTGCATCGCTGACATTCTGTTCGGCGACGCCAACCCCTCCGGCAAGCTTTCTCTTAGCTTTCCCAAGCAACTTCAAGACGTGCCATCCTTCCTCAACTTTCGGGCCGAAGCTGGACGAACACTGTACGGGGAGGACGTGTACATGGGCTACCGATACTACGAGTTTGCCAATCGAGCCGTCAACTTCCCCTTTGGCCACGGTCTGTCCTACGCCAGCTTCTCCTTTTCCGACCTGTCAGTGACGTCAAGCGAGGGCAAGGTGACGGCCGCGCTCAAGGTCAAGAATACCGGTTCCACAAAGGGCTCTGAAGTTGCTCAGATGTACATAAAGCCCAGGCAAGCTGCCAAGATCCGCCGCCCCGTCAAGGAACTCCGTGGCTTCGCCAAGGTTGAGCTCGAGGCTGGCGAGACCAAGATGGTCACTATTACCGAATTGGAGAAATACGTTGCGGCATACTGGGACGAGGAGCGCGACCAATGGTGCGTCGAGGCAGGCGAGTACGAAGTCATCATTAGCGATAGCAGTGTGGTTCGCGATGGAAAGGCTGTCCGGGGCTCGTTCAAGGTGTCTGCTTCGTACTGGTGGGGTGGGATCTGATTCCGAGAATGCGTTTCATTCCACTGTAGACGGCAGCCGACGGACATTTATCAGAGGGAGTGCGTATTTTACGACTTTAATTTCAAAAAAAAATCTGCTCCAACCAATCATCGCTGTGTGACATGTGAAAGTCTACTGATGTCACACACAAAAGAAATAACCTCCCCCTCTGTTCTGTCTCTTACCTCAGGGCGGCCAAATTACCATCCCCTACGCGTTTATCCAAACCATGGTCTCGCCCATAGCCACGGAACGCTACGATACGACGCACTAGGAGAACAGTGTCCATTCCTCTGCGGGCCAACCAGCTGGGCAGTAACCTCTCCGTCAACACATGATGCCGATGCCGATGCCCTGCCGAGGCCAAGTCCTCATCATTTGCCGACACTCCCGCGCCGCCAGCCCGAGGCGGTTCCGGGTTCCAAGGGACCGCATCGCCGAGTCTCTGCACCGTCAAGCCCGCATTGCAGGGGTTCTTCATGCCGGCCTCCCTTTGCCGCTGGCAAGACACACATGCACGTCAAAGCCGCTCTGTCTTGGCGGGCGTCAGGCGCAGATACACCTCGACGACGATGGCGTGGAGAGCAAAAGCGAGACGGGCGCCGGCCACTGGCTCGACAGTCCAACAGGCACGAGAACATGCTGTTTGAGCTCGGCGCCGGGCGTATACGGCATTTCTGCGTGCGCCTCTACCCCAGCTCGACAAAACGCCTCATCGTCCAACATGGCCTGTGTAGTTTCTAGAGCAGTCGTGAACTTTGAAGCCGTGGTGACAGCGACAGCCCGTCATTTGACATGGCTCCTGACCCCTGGGCCCGTGTAAGGCCCAACCGTCGGGGTGAGTAGCCGCCATTCCTCGCCATCAAAGAACTACATTGGTACTCGTCCTATTCCCAGGGCCTACAGCTTGTCAAACGGGGGGATGATTGGCGCCCGGCGAAGGACCCTGTCTGTTGCTGCATGGGCGTGAGCAAGCACCATGCGCCAAAAAACGCTTGCTGCCAAGATGAGTTGTATCGCGATGGATTCAGTACACCGAGCCGGGGCGTATCAAGCGGTTCTATTCAGCGACTGCCCGTCCAACCACTGTCCTCTTCGGTGATATCAGCAGCCCTGTAAATAGACACCCTTGGGCGTCAAGCTCAACCCGTGCATCAAACACAGTCATGATGACCGCCGGCCCTCTGGCATTCTACACCACGGTCCCCCTTATACATGGAGTATACAAGCAATCCGAACCAGCAGCGCCTGCTATCCCAACCCGTCCACCGTGTCAACATCGTGTGTCGCTTGGATAACGCCCGTCCAGCCCGTACCCGACGAAACGACACACCTTCCCATGCCGCGCCGCCCTCACACCTCACACGACACGCGTACCACGGCCACCCCTTCCGCTCACCACCTCTGCAGCACGAGCCGCCTCTCCTCGCCGCCCTCGGCACCACTCGCAAACATGGCCTCCAAAAACTCCAAATCGGCCAAGGCCTCCCGCGCGCTCTGCATCGGCGCAGCCACGCCCCCGCCGTCCAGGATGCTGCCCGCCCAGGCGTCCACCTCCTCCCGCACGCCGCTCGTCCGCTCAAACCTCGTCTCGGCCTTGGCCCCGTCCTCCCCCGTCACCGTCACCAGGTCCCCGTCGGACCGGACGGCACCCCTCTCGCAGGCAACCTCCCACTCGAAGGCGCTCGCCAGCGTCCCCGCAGAGTGGCAGTAGGTGCCCACGGCGCCGGACTCGGTCCTGACGAGGGCGGTCACCGTGTCCATGGGCGCGAGGTGCCCGCGGCCCGGCCGCGTACAGGAGCCGCGGGGCGAAGCGCACGTTCTCGGCCACGGCGAGGATCGGCCGCCCGCCCGCGTCCCCGGGGGCCAGGCTCTCGTGAAACGCGATGAGGTCCTGCGCCGTGGCCACGTCCGCCGCGATGGGCTTCTCGGCGAGCACGTGCTTGCCCGCGGCGAGGGCGGCCCGCACGTACGCCGGCTGGGAGACGATGGGCAGCGCGACGATGACGGCCTGCACGTCCTCCCGCCGCAGGAGGTCGGCGTACTTGCTGCCGGGGGAGTCTTCCGCGTAGAGCGCCGGCTGGGGCGCGTCCTTGATCTGGCCGGCCGTCTCTTGGGCCGACTTGAGCGAGCGTGAGTAGAGGGCTTTGAGGTCGAGCCTGGCGTTGCCCAGGACGGCCGGCTGGTTGTGCCGTGCGTCAGTTTTTTGCGCACGAGGTGAACGACGACGGGGTGGGTTTGGGGAGTGGGCTCACGAGATGCTCGGCCTTGACGAAGAGGCCGCTGCCGATGATGGCGACGCCAATGGACTGCGTCATGATGGGCTTTTGGATGTCTTGTCTACGCTTTGGATGGGTTGCTTCTTGGACTGTGGGTGCATTCGGGCGCGTGAGAATTTATTTGATCCGGGGGTTATCGAGCATCCAGATCCGCGATGCGTGGGGGAGGTCAAGGAAGTGGGGGACAATGACGAAACTGCTGGTGGTTTTAGGCTCAGTTCATTCGTAGTTATTTATACCGACTCGACTTGATTGATTTGGTGGGTCCGCAAGCCGGCCGCATGTCTGGTACAATTCACATCTCATGCAAAGGCCTCGCTGAGTAGAAACACTTTGGAGCCCGTCTGACAAGAAATGATGCAACGTTGAAAAAATAGATGGATATCCTAGTATAAAAGCATCTCTACATCTCCATTTGGAGACTATATCTGTAACCCCAAACGCCACGCACCCAAAGACTGTATGATATGCCAAACTCCCCTTACTCGAAACTACTGTGTATGGTATTGATGAGGCTGAAACAGAGGCTGATGCTGTAATGGATGATGATTGGGTAGAGAATGATGGTCTTGTGGTATTGGATAATGTTGTGATTGTTGCGGTTGTTGTTGTTGTTGCTGCTGCTGCTGCTGGTAATTCCGTTGAATCTGGGCCGTCGACTGTAGTACCAGATAGCCCGGTCCCAACATGGGGTGAGGCGCATATTGATACGTCATTGTGTCGAGCTCTCCGGGAGCCAGGATGACGGGCTGTGGAGCGGCAAGTTCGTGATATTGCCACGGCGGCACTTGCGGAGGGACGTACCAGGCTGGCAGCATCTGGGTCGGCTGTGCATATTCTTTGTGGGGGTATATCGCGTGAGGATAGGCGGCAGTACCGGGTGTCATGACTGGCGAAGGTCGATTGGTCGTCGATACCATAGTAGACGTCATTGTCGACTCGCTGCTTGCCGCCCAGGCCTGATGGGTCGTCCATATTCCCTTTCTCTTTCGCATACCAATAACGAGAAGCATCACGAGCTGCACCAGCCGGATCCACGTGTTGCCGACAGCATCCATAAGACTCCACCAGGGAGGACCGGCTCCGGACGGAAGAAGCCACCGCGCATAGAGGGTGAGGAAAAAGGTCCACCGGACAAAATCCAAGACGGTAACAGTGAGATAGAGAATGGCGGCCTGGCAGTACCGAGTTAGCGTACCGCACCCCTCGCGCATGGAGGCAAGCAAATACATACCTGACGGGTGAGCACACGACTCTTGTGCTTGTGCATCACAAAAGAGGCATATCCGACCTGAAAGAGGGAGATGATCCACAAGGAAGTATAAAACAAAGCCCCTAGTTTGCCGACAACCTTCAATGACTGAGAGAGCTGGGCGTAGCTCGAATTGCTTTCTGAGCCGTTCCAATATGCCACCCAAGATGCCGTCGGTTGTCCAAAGTATGCGAGGGCGAAAGCGAAGAAAATGGTGGCGGCAACGTAAGCCGTGTACCGTAACACGGTCTGGTACTTCGATGGCTTTGGATTCAGCGAGTGCATGAGTCCGTTTCCAAGCTCGATGAAAATGATGACGAACAGAATATCGACGAGATGCTCAAACAAGTTGCCGGTGAAGCTGAGATATCGCTCAGATCGAATTACACTGCTTATCTCATCGTGCGTGTGGTTGGCTGTATCGTAATAACCGGCGGCATTTTGCCACGAGTCGAGAATGGAATTCAGGGCGTCGGCGGCAATAATGCAGCTGAGAGAGCTGTGTGGCATTAGCCGTGTCCATGGCAGGCAGCATTCGCAATATGAGGCCATCTATAAACCAACTACAACCGACAGCATGTGCAGGGTTTGGATGCAAGACTCGGACGCTCATTGAGAATAGGCCGGGTTTGACAACCAAGGTGTACTTACACTATTAAAAATGGATGACAGGCTTTTAGCCAGATGAACGCTCGGCGAGCAGGATCCCCCCGACCTCGTGCCAGGAACAATGTCAATAAACCCACGCATATGACCGGTATTATAACGAAGCCCGAGACTCCCAAATGGACCAGAGTCCACAGTTGAGCAGCCGTCATGACGACAGCAATTTGGCCTGGTTATAGATTGGAAATGTTGTACTTGGCGCCAAGTAACCAACACATGGCAGGCATGGACCAGCAGCCGTGGGTGAAGGAAGGATGGGGGTTATTGCCGGCCTCGCAGAACGGGGCAAGGTAAGGTATTAAGAGAATTTACTCGGCAACAAGGCACGTATTAAAAGGGCAGCAATATCAAACGAGAGGGAAAAGACAGCAAGGGAGAGGGCAGCCACGGGAACTCGCCAGCCTGGAAAGCCAGGACGGACAAGAGGACAAATAAGAGAGGGACGAGGCGGCATGGGCGGGTGTGAAGAGAATGGAAACCCTGGGCGGGCCATTGCCAAAAAGGAAAGGGTACGAGGCAAGAAAATGGAATTCTGGCGCAAGGCGAAACCTTACAAGTTCGTTTCTAGGACAGACGAGAGTGAAGTGAGACAAGTCTGGGGGGGTTTGGTCGACAAGTCGAGTTGAGGGCCTCTCTGATCGAGCCTCGCACACAAGCCGCGACTAGGCAATTGTTTGGCGAAGGCTATTCGACTGGGTGGCGCAAGTTGCGGGCAGAAATGGACCAGGATGTGCCGAGACGTCGCGGCGCCATTGGCCGGTTGTGTGAGCATCATTTGCGAGAGCATGCCTCAAGAGGGTCCATGTCTTAGTTGCGAATTTGCACGTCCCAACGAGCGTGTGAGGCCGTGCCGGGTCGAAGAAGAAAAGAAGACGAAAGGGCAAAGGAGACAAAGACGGACAATGGAGGAAAGGGGGGTTCAGCGCGTCAACGGCATGTTTGACACGCACCCGAGCTGCTTGTCGTCATCCAAGGCGGTGGCCATCCGAGTCATAACACGCCTAGTAGCTGTATACTGCTACTATACTATTTTGCCCATTTGGCGGCTGGTTTGGCTGGCTCTGCGGGCAATGCGCAATAGTGTTGCACTGCATGACCCCAATCTCGCCGTGGTTTGGGGTCGAGACAGGCGACAGTGACGGGCGGTCATGTTGATGCCAGCACAGGCGTCAAGCATCGGGAGACGGGCGGTGGTACAGGCGCAAGCCAAAAAAGCTTGGCGGAGGTGTTGGACGGCCCTTGCAGGAGGACTCGCAGGAGTCGCAGGACGAGACGCGACGATCGCGATGAAGGCGGGAGCGTGCGTGCGTGCGAGGCCCGAGCCAAGGTTGACTTGAGTTGAGGTGAGCTTGTCCCGCGCTCAAGCAAAGTTTCGAGTTTCGAGTTGCACGTTGGATCCGTCAAGCAACGAGTTGACTTTAGACTGCGGAGTAGCTCCTTCCCCATGCTATTCCAGAGCGGGGGGACACGAGGATCTCTGGTCCGAGATGGGAAGCAGCAGGGCCAGAAGCGGACAGGCGTGCCTTCCCAAGGTTATCCGAGCAAGCTGGCAGGCGTTCATGACCCACGGCCATTTGTTCCACGCCAAAGCAATTTGTCCGTTCAACCGCGGGGGCCAAAAGCACCCATGATAATGGACTAATTAACAGTCAATGCCGCCAGCTGTGCAGACTTGCTCGGTACGGAGTACGGAGTACAGCAGCAACTCTTTTGACAGTTATTATGGAGAGTGTCGGCAGCACTGCTGCCTCTGTATTAAATTGTGCACTGTGCATCGTGCACCCCTGCCGACTGCCGAGCAGGGGTCCCTCCACGTCCCCTCGTCACTCTCGCGCATTTGATGCCAAAATGTTTGATCAAACCGCACGACTTGCCGCCCCGGGGACCCGGGCACAAGCGCAAATCGACGTCGAAATGCAAGCTTGAGCAGCGGGCATTCACTCGCCGTGCGTGCGCTGCCAACATTCCCAAGACGTCTGGGCCAGTGCGCCCAGCCGCAATCCATACGTATTGCCGCGTGTCTGAGTGGCACATCAATGTCTCTGGCCACCTCGCGCGCCATTTTCCAGACTCGGCAGTCTGGTAGCTTGTGTCGTCACTGATGCGGTCTGATGTGCCTGGAGCGCCGCCGCGAGGGCTGAACTACCCGTCCGACCTTGACGGGCACGCCGGGTGCCATCGATGGGAGCGACGGGAGCCCGCGTGACATGTATGTACATACATGTATCCATCAGCAGCCGCGGTGCATGATCCTGACGCCGTTTGTTTCTCTAGTCCTGTCCGCGTCTCGATGTTCGGCAGTCGTGCAAACGTGGCGTGCTAATGGAAATAGGTGAAACCCGTCCTCGTCGGCTTCCATTCCAGAGAAAAGACGGTCTGCGAGGCTCAACCATCCCCACTGACCACGCCGTCAAAAAGGCGGTTTGCTCAATCTTGACTGCATCCGGAAATAATTGCCATGCTGGAGGAAAGCTAGTTGCTCTACGATATTTTGGGTATCAAGGCGTGTCCGAGAGATGAAGCGTCTAAGCCAGCCCGGCTGCCTCTCCTGCCTCGGCCATGCTGAAGACTCTAAAGGCTCTAAACACTCGCAAGTACCCGTCAGGCACGGGTATTCGTGACCTGCTGCCCGTCAGCTGGGCTGATCAAGGTGGCTGGGGCTGAACCGATGCACATCTACGGAGTATTCGTCTTGCCATACTAGACCCCAAGGGTCTGGTCAACGTGCACCCGGTGCAATGCCCAACGTGCCGACCTAAACACCAACCTGGGCCACAAATATTCCAACTAGGTACTCTGTACGGAGTAGTCAACATTCTGTCATGCATTCTGGGGCACTGCTCCGGCCGGGGCAGCCCTGCTCCCGTAGTAGATCGAGGGTTGCATCGTCGCATCGTCACGCGGATGCTCTTCAGCTGTCAATGTATGCAGCCAGTGGCCAATGGTTCAGCTATCGACGATGCTACTGGGCAAAGCAAAGATTTTGCCCGCGAGTATTCTGTCAACCGCAACCTGAATCCTCCAAGCGGCGTCGCATCCACATTCCTGGCATCATCCACGCACGACACACGGCGAGATGGCAACGACCCTTTTTACAACGATGCACGTTACTGTGTGACAGCCTCGGGCGACATATCCGCCCCCGTGGAAGCAAACTGCCTACTTGACCTCCATCAGCCAAGGTGAAAAGTGCACCAGTGGTAGTTGTGTGACGTGGTTAAAAAACACAGTCAACATGTTCACAAGTAGAAATTAGTCGTGATAGAAGCCTTGTTCGCAGCAACTAGCTACCCTGTACCTCTACTCCGTAACATATTTTGTCTTTCCAGTATCTTCCATCAAACCCAATAATATCGATTGCCGTCCTTTCGCCTTGTTTTGTTCGTAAAATATTCCACGTCGTAGCACATTATCCAGCGTTGGTCCTGGCCCTGCGCCCTTGCTAGGTTCGCCAACGGTATCCCATCGTGGACAAATCACCCGCAACAACGCAGCCGTCAGGCCAGCTCCTCAAACCGATACAGCTGCTCGACACACATGCTCACCGCGGCCGCCACGGCATCGTCGCCATCCGCGCCCCTCCTCCGCAGGGCCCGGGCGACGCCGCTCCCGAACCGCCGCAGCGGCAGCCCGTCCACCTCCCTCGTTCTCGCTCGCCGCAGCGGCGACACGCACCTCGACCGCGGGGGAAACGGCGCCATGATCAGGAAAAAGGGACTGATGGCGAGTGTCTTGGCTTGCTGTTCAACAATGGTTGACGGCCGGTGGGAAAAGTGTAGAGCGCCAAGGACGGATTGTGCTCTCTTTTTTGGGAATTTGCCAACGGCTGGTGGCAAGTATCAATCGTGGTGAACGCGGCTCTGATGGTAGGTATTGCTTGGAAAACGCCTTTCAAGAGACCTGGGTCGGTGATGAATCGAACAAAAGCTTGCGGCAGGTGGATGGCTTCTCGAAGACTGGTACGGAGTATACAGCTCATGGTTTCCGTGATAGGCCAATGCGGTCTATATGTCGATTTTGGCCAGCAGCGCGGGGAAGGGCGACGACGCGCGACAGCGTGGCACTGCATGCAGCTTTGCCTGCGCATGCCGACGAGAGGACATCGATGTGGCAGGACGTGTCGCTGGTTATTGGCTCGTCCTCGTGCGTCTTCGCCAAGGGCCGCGGGTGAGTGGTGGCATGGCTGCCAGTGCTGTTTGCTTGCTGCTGTCGCACCTTATGCTGTCAATCGGACTGACGTGGCGACTCGTCCGTGGATGCAACATGCACACCATGATGCGGCTTTTATAAGTCGCTGACGGCTAGTAGATGGCTCGCACCAGACATGGCCGTGAATCAACAACCGAGCAACGTCCAAATCGCCGTTTCATTTCGCTTCCACGTCTGCCTTGCGCCCATTGGTGCCCACGAGCCGCTTCGACCCGTCTGCCTCGCCGTCCCAGTCTTGTTTGAAGACTGGCTCCGTGTAACTGTCCTGCTTTTCAGACTGCCACGGCGCTTTTTGATCCATGCACCATGTTACATCATGCCCGTCCAACAAAAGACAAACATGTGCCATTGTCCCAGTACTGGCCGCATACAAGCAGCCAGCCAGCCTCGGTGAATGCCAGGTACACACCGCAAACATGATGAGGAGACGTGACAGACAGATTCCACGCAACGGCGCTCTTTTCATCGTGTCATCTGGCCTAACTTGGCACTCTGCCCATGGCCGTGTTGACATGCCCAGCCCATTTGACTCGCTACTACAATATGGCTGCAGATAAAAGTCGGTTTCAACCGAAACTTACGCATACTTGTACATGCGGCAGCTGAATACCGAACTGACCAACAGTTGGTTACAC